GGGGAAGGTAGAGACAAATGTGTTTAAAAAGAAAAAAGAAATAAAGAAATGCTTGAAAAGAAAATAAATAAATAAATAAATAAAAATAAGCTACCAAATTCAGGAAAAAAAAAGGGAGGTTATGTTCAGACTGGTAAGCTGAAAAAATTTTTCCCACGTAATCTGAAGAGTTTCTGTTAAACTCTCTTTCCTAACTCACTTAACAATGTATTATCCCTTTTAAAAAATTATTATGATAACAATGATTAGAATCTAAAAATTTCATTTCCTACAACTTAAAACCAGGGGGAAAAATGTTCATAAAAAAGTCTAACATTACCCATATCATCCTGAGGGCACCCTTCTTCTTTATGAGATATAATTTTCTCTCTTGTTAACAAGAAATGCAACTCATAGTTATGGGATCCAAGCACAAATCTCAATATTCATTACATGTTTATAAAATCCTCACCCTCAAAGAAAAAAAGATCTAAACCCATACAAATAGACTATCTCAATTTAATTTTATTATGAAAATATGGGGAATGGCAGCAGAGTACATAGTAAGTTCAATTAGCTGAAGGATTTAATGAAATGATGACATGCCATCATGATTCAGGGGCTGGAGATATAATCTCCATCTGGAAAAACCTAAATTTCCACCACAAATGCTGACATCGCCTGCTGAATATTGTTAGGCATTACCTTGAATGGTCCCTAAGCATTTTCTTTACAACAAGTATAGCTTTAAGATTTTTTTCTTATTTCACTCTGCAATATAACTGTTTCTCCTTGAACAGAAATCAGAAATAAATTCCATATAATGGTCTACTTGAAACAGGCATTAGAGCCAAACTAAAGTATTCATTGATCAATCAAAGTAATAATAACAACAGCATGATCATTTTTCTTTTAAGTCATGAATGATATTGTTCAATCGTTTTCCATAGCACCTAAGATTTAATCCAATCAAGAGCCCTCTTTTTGTGTTCTCAAGTAATAGTTTCTTAGTACTGAAATACTTTGCGAAGGTATGATACGAATCAGGTCTAAGGAGGAGAGAATCAAGATGGCGGAGGAGTGAGTGGAAGTCACACTGACCTCCTCACAGGAACAACCTGGAATTACAACTAAATTGTGGAGAAATCACCTCAAACAAACAACTGAACAATAGTGAGAGAGGAGCCTTGTAACCTTGGAGACAGAAGAATTGGCTTTAGCGCAATCTAACTGGTAAAGAGTGCGGTAGAGACTCAAGAAGGCGGACCAGGTGCTGACGGGCGGCAACACCAGAAGGATATTGAAATGGCCAACTGGATCCCCTGAGAAGAGCGGTGTCTAATCTAAAAGGGGGGATTTCCAGCCTACAGCACCAGAGCCCAAAAAATACACAGGAAACAGCCAGCTGTGAAAAGCGGCAGGGTTGCACTCCGCCAGAGACAGGCAGCTGGAGACACAAAGAACCGTTTAAAGGGCCAACTCATAAATTTTTATTTGCAGCTTCTTACCCTGGTCTCCAGCAAAGGTGGGAGCAGAGTGGCTAGAGATGCCTGATGAGAGACTGGGGAAGGAGGCTTTGGGGAGAGAACTGAGAGAGTGGCCGGTGGGATCTCGGTGCTGACTCATCCCCCATGTGGCAGCAGCCACCTTGCTCAGGCAGAGACCACTCCCCATGAGTGGCACCAGCATCAAAGGACCCAATAGCCCAGCCCCCAGGTGGGATTCCACCCCGGCCTGTGCTGTCTAATCCTCCTGCTGAGTGCAGAGTGGCAGTCACAGACAGCAGATCCGTGACTAAGCAGGCGCAGAGAGGTCTGAGACACATAAGGAAAGACTGGGGATGAAGGCTTTGGAGAGGGAACAGAGAGCAGAAAGCAGGATCCCAGTGCTGACTCATCCCCCCATATGGCAGCGGTGGGAGAGGACCCAATAACTCCACCCCCCAGGGGGAATCCGCCCGGCCCTGAGCTATCTAAGGCGGCCTGCTGAGTGCAGAGTGACTAGGTTAACAGCTGAAGGAAACAGCCACAAACAGTGGATTACTGGAAGTCTCAAACAGACTGCCTAAGGTCAGAGAGGGACAACGTCTGTCATCATCAGAGGCAGATCCAGAAAGTAAACACAGCAGTCTCCTACAATAGAAGTTCACACTACAAAGTCAGGAAATCAAGACAGATCAACTTAAGAAACAGAAGCAAAAAAGAAGAGTCACACAAATAACGGGAAGACAAAGAAATACCCCCACTCAAAGGGAAAGGAGGAATCTCCACAAAGATAACTAAATGAAATAGAGGCAAGTAAGCTATCAGATACTAAGTTCAAAACAACGCTTCTAAGGAAGCTCAATGAGCTCAGAGAGCTCAGAGAGAATTACAAAAAACTACAGGGAAACAAGGAACTGACTGCGAACTATATCAGCATGAAAAAGGACATAGAAACTATCAATAAGAGACAAGAGGAAAAGGAGAATACCATTTCTGAATTGAAGAACACAGTAGAAGGAATCCAGGCAGGCTGGATGAAGCCGAAGATCAAATCAGCAAGCTGGAGAACAAGGTAGGAAAAAGCTCCCAGAAAGAGCAAGAAAATGAAAAAAGACTCAAAAAGCATGAAGAAGCACTTAGAGAAATGCAGGACAGACAACCCGAAACGTAATAATATCCATATAATAGGGATCCCAGAAGGAGAGAGGAGGAGCAAGGGATAGAGAACCTGTTTGAAAAAGTAATGATGGAAAGCTTCCCTAATTGGAGGACAGAAAAAGTCACACAAGTCCAGGAAGCACAGAGGGTCCCATTCAAGAGGAACTCAATGAGGCCCACTCCAAGACACATCATCATTAAAATGGCAAATATCAAAGACAAAGAGAGAATCCTAAAGCAAGCAAGGGAGAAACATGTAGTAACATATAAGGGAGCCCCGATACAGCTAGCAGCTGACTTCTCAACAGAAACACTGCAAGCCGGAAGGGAGTGGCAAGAAATATTCCAAGTCATGAATAGCAAAGGTCTGCAACCAAGACTGCTCTACCCAGCAAGGCTCTCAATTAAAATGGAAGGTGAAATAAGAATACACCTCCACCAAACCAGCATTGCAAAATATGCTAAAGGGATTGCTTTAAGATGAAGAAAGAGTGTATGAATACACACTTCCTTCCAGAGTTGCCAATACTTGATATTACCAATATTTTTAATATGTATTAATCTGATTGTGACAATGATGTATTTTAATTGTTCCTTTATTACTTGTTGAAGCTAAACCTGTTTTTGTATATTTCTTACCTATTTCTATTATTTTTAAAAAGCTTTAAATGAGTTTTTGGGTTTTTTTATCCATTTTTTATTAAATGTTTGTAGAATTTCATCCCTAAAATAAAAAACCCATTAACCCTTTTTTAGATGTGTTGCAAATACTTTCCTATTCTATTACTTGTCCTTTAACTTTTTTTATACGTATATTACTATATAGTCTTAAATGTTTAATATTGTCATGTTGTCAATATTTTACTTTATAGCTTCTGGGTTTGAATATTTTACTTCAGGTCATGAAAACTATTAGTTTGTATTATCTCCTAAAACTCCCTTAGAATCTACATATTGATTTTAAACTCACCTGAATATTTCTTGTATAATGTGTGAACTAGGGCTCTACATTTGTTTTATTTCAAGTAATAGTGGTCCTCACACCTTATTTGTTGAATAAGCCTTATTTTCCCCATTGATTTGAAATATCAACTTAATTATATACTACATTGTTAGACATATATATGTTTGTCTCTAGAATGCTCTTTATATTTCATTGGTCTACTTGATTATTTTTGTGCTGGTGTCATGTTGGTTTAATTGCTGAGACTTTATAATGGTTTTAAATTTTTTAATATTTTATAATTAACCTTTGATATTTAAAAAAATAGATAAAATCAATCTGCATTTAAGAAAGAAAGAAAGAAGAGAGAGAGAGAGAGATGGAATCCCTACCTTTTGTGACAACACGGATGGAATTGGAGAATATTAAGCTAAGTGAAATAAGCCAGTTGATGAAAGACAAATACCATATGATCTCACGTCTAACAGGAATCTATTCAACAAATTAAACTAATGAACAAAATAAAGCACAGGCATGGAAACATGGAGCAGACTGAAAATGACCAGAGGAGATGGGGAAAGAGGATAATGGTAGATAGAAGGGGAAGAGACTTGACAAAGAACATGTATGAATGACCCATGGACTTGGACAACAGAGTGGGAACTGACTGTGGGAGTCGGGGCTGGGAGTGGGATGGGTGGAAGGGGGTAAAGGGGGAAAATTTGAGACAACTGCAATAGAATAAACATGATTTATAAATTAAAAAAATAATAAAAAAATAAAATTAAACCACAAAAATAAATCAGGTCTATAGAGCCGTTTCATAAAATGAAAATGCACTGCATTTTTAAACCAAATACAGTTCATTGAGTGAGACAATGGTAACCTTTTTTAAAATTTTACATACCAAGTGTAAGGAGGTCATTTGTGAGTATTCAGATCCTTAGATATGTTACCAAGAATCATGTTATTAGGCTCTGAACATTGTACTTTTTTACACTGAATAATGGATTCTGTAAGCCAGTGGTTAGCCAATGAATGCACAGCTCTGAGATTAGAATTTATTAGGTTTGTGTCCTGAGATGTTTATACAGGTGTGATGCACATACATGCACCCTCACACTGCACTGTAGGATATATTGTACAGTCCACAGTATGACACTAAATACTTATAACTGCCTGTTTTAACATTTATTTTCCAGGCTGTACCAATTTTTTTTTTAAAGTACAATTAACTTTTCAATCTTACCTCCTCCCTAAATAAATTCATCAAGCTACCCATATTGATTCAGTTACTTCTTCAAGTGTTTGGTATCCAAATGGGGCTTCTCTTTCATTAAAACTTATTCCCCAGGTTATTTCATTTTCTTCCTCCTTGGTAAGGAGGTATTTCAGAAATGGGAACATTTAAAATTCATAAATAACTCAAAACTTACTTGGTTTTCTGAATCCACACACAGTAGTCTGAGATGTAGAGATCATTTAGAATGTAGGCTGGGTCGCTTTCCTGAAAAATTTTGTGAATATCCAGTAGACATTTTAAAACTGCACTTTTACCTGAAGGAAATTATAAAAAACAAAATCATCCTTAAGAAAATATATCTAATTTTTTAAACTGAGAAATTCAGACACTGAGACATAATATATTTACAGTAGTTAAGAGTTTTAATTGGTTTTTTACAATATTCTTAATATTCCTTTACCGCATAAAATTACATCAGTACTATTAGGTCCAAAGCTTGTTATTTTTTTCCCTAAGGATTAGGAGTAAACCTTACACTCTACTGTTAAAGCTAGTTAACTGTGGTTATCCAAAAAAAAAAAAAAAAAAGGCACTATGAAACACAGGTAGGTACATTATACAAAAAGAAGCAAATCAAACTAAATGAATATTTACATGTATCATAACTTTAATTAGATAATGGTCTTCTATTCAAACTTTCAAAATACCATTGGAAATTATATTTTAGTTTTCAAACTCATTTTTTATGGCAACGTTTGTTTTTTGTTTTTTTTTTTTTGTCAAGGAATTATCTAGTACTCTGCTATGATATTACCATGGGTACAATAACACGAGGTGATAGGAATTTTTCAGTTCCATTATAATCTTATGGGACTTCCATCTGTCCTTGAAACATAATTATTAGGGGTATGACTGTACTTAGAAAGCCTAAAATTACATTTGATTAAATCAAGGTCAGGATAACTATCAAATGATAAATGTGGATGCCCCCCCGCCACAGGTCAATTTTAATTAGAAAGTAGGTAATGTTGAAGGCAGAATATGAGACAGAAAAGGGAAATATAGCAGGTTGTCAAATAATGTCCTTCTGTTCAACATCATTTCATTACAACTTGTAGGAACTTAACTCTTGTTTATATCAATTAGCCTATGGCAAAATTTTTTTTTTATATGTCTTTCACTTAAAGTTACAGAACCTATTGATGATGTTAAGTGAGGACTTACTGTACAATCAAAACTCACAGAAATGATGAAACCAAATTAGCTATGTTATCCAAATAGAAAAAAATTAAGGGAGAACAAACTAAACTGTAATAATTTTTGAACAGCTTTAATTGCCATAGAGAAGAAAATACCAGGTCAAGCATATGCCGATGTCAATCAATCTCAATCTCAATCTCTCGAGGCCTTCACCCATCTCTACCTCTCTCTTTCCCTCTCTCTGGGTACAGAGGAAGAAGTTTATGTTTATGATAACTACCAACTAAAAGTTTTAAAGTCAACAATATGTCTTTACCAAAAAACCCTCCAAGAAGAAAAAAAACTATTCACCTGAAATTTGTACAAGCACCTTTCCAGTGTTACACTACAGAATACTGCCTCTCACGATCACATCGCTTACTAATATTGCCACGTTAATAGAAAATACAGGATTTGGAGCTGGGCCTCACAGCAAATAATTCAATGAGTGAAGAAAAGGGGGTAGGTATGCCAGCTTGGAGGACAGCAAGAAAAAGTAGACATGGGACTTAAAATGCAGTGGGTTCAGGGAATAACAGAAAAAAAAAATCATTTGGCTGGAGCAGATAGATGATTCAAGTATAGAAACGGGGGTAAATAGGTGAGTTTGGTGGAAGTCGAACTATGATGAGGAGACTAATGCAATCGGACAGTACTGAGGTAAGAAAGCCTAAATGCAGGCTTTGCAGTAGAAATAAAAGACCCTAGTCTAGAATTTCTTTTTTTTATAATCAAGAAAGGTATGGAATTAAGGCCACATATTTAATGAGAATCCACAGCAACCATTACCTAATGCAATTATATAGCTTCACTTAGCAGATATGCCTTTTAAAGGGAGCTTGTCTCCTTACTAAGGGGCCCAGCAAATTTATTAGAAAAGAAGTTACACTGCATTTGCCTGTTTTGAAACATTATTTTCTTAAAAAAAAGACAAATACATATACACATGAAAAAAAAGTTACACACACACACACGCTACCTAAGTGATATTAACAGTGTTTCTCTCTACATTCATCGAATATGTGAGTGCCTGAAGTGTGCTTAACACTGTTTTACATGTGGAATTATAGTTATTTATTTTAATTTGCACTTTCCCTTAATTTCAAAATTCTTCACAATAAACATGTGCTTAACAAAAAAGTAGCCATACTTGATTGCATAACCAATCCTTGAAATACTGACAATACATGCTAAAAATTTTTATTCATACTTGAACATATTCTTAAAAATGTATTTTTGAAGAAGTGAAAAGCAATATTTAGATCAGGAGTTACAAAATTACAAAACTGTATGGAAAACGGTTTTGAAAAGGATGTTATATACTCTTCAAAAGCTTTGTTCTCACTGTAAGTCTCACACAATTTTCACAGTATGCTGTATGACAAATAAAGTAAAAGATAACTAGGTTACTGGCAGCTGACAATCTAGAAAAAAAAGTACACTACAACTGTCCTCCCCCCAACAATGTGTATGTTTCCCCAAGGTCACATTTGACTTCTTGTTCCCACTAAATCACCACAGATGACTAACCATCGTAACCGAGAGACTCAAGAAGCATGCAGCCTTTTTTTTTTTTTTTGTCTCTTCTGTACTGACTGCTCTTTCTGTCAGGTTGGCAACAACTTACCTAACAGCCATCAGCAAAGAATTAAAACTGGCCCTCCTCCAGGCTGTCACATGGCCACTGGCTAGAGCCTCTGGAGAGTCAAAGTACCTGGCTACTATGTGGCTGCATCAGGTCCTGGGCTCATCACACATCACATGGGCATAATAAACTGCACAGGCCTAAGTCCAACAGAATTATTTCTACTCAAAGACACTGCAGGGAAGTGACCATTTTCAGCCAGTCCACTGCTGGGTCCAAAGCAGGAAAAGTCAGGTACCTTATTCAGTAGCCATGGTAACTATTTTTACTGCAGCAATGAAGTGCTTCTCCAGGAAATTTAATCTCCAGAGAGCTAGGATTGACTGGATCCTTGCTTACGCCAACCCTGTCCATGGCAGAAAGGATTCTGGGGTCTCTTAATGAGAATTAAAACTAGTGGAAGTAGTTTAAAACTAATATCCTGGCATATAAATGGTAAGTGCCATGAATATTTTACCTCAGGGAAAATGACTGTCTAATACAAACAGGGAAACCTAATGACAACAAAAAGAAAGTATGGAGGATGGTAACAAGCAGGTGGGCAGTAAACAGTATTTAATACATTCTCTGGCTACTCGCTCTCCCACTTTCCTTTAAGGGAAAGGTAAACTAAGAACAGTGTGCTTTCCTATTCTGGACAGATGTGGCCTTTCAGGTTAATTTATCTTGAAACAGAGACAAGGTTGAGCTGTTTTAAATGCGGAATCAACTGGCTATTTGAAATCTTCCTATTAGTAGACTAGGTTTGGCAATAATCTATCATTGACAACCAGATCATGGTTAGAGGCACTTACATGACTCCCAACTCTAGGAGATTATTAGAATAGTAAATGCTTGTATAGGCTAAAAGCCAAATAATATAAATTGCTAACTCCATATAGTAAGAGCTATAGTTCTTTTCAACTATTGGTACATTATAGTTGCTATGTGGCTATAGTTTTCTGGGTATCTAGTTCTGTCATTTAAAGTTTTGAAATACACAAGAAAAGAAGCCAAAAAGAGTAAAATAAAAAGAGGTAGTTATTCCAAATACCTATAGAAAAGCACTGCTTGGTCTTTATTTGTAAAATTATCCCAGAATAAAAGCAAAGCAAACAAACAAACAAAAACACGGCTATCATTTTAAAGTACATAACTTAGTAGATATCTGGCAAGAATTCTGGCATTTTGATGAGACCACATTATCAGAAGAGAGAATTTATGAATTATTATTAATCCTCACCTGAGGATATGTTTATTGATTTTAGAGAGAGAAAGGAAGAGGGAGAAGAGTGAGGGGGAGAGAGAGAGACAGAAACATCAATTGGTTGTGTTTGCCTCCCATATGCACCCCAACTCGGGATCAAACCTGCAGCCTAGGTATGTACTCTTGCTGGGAAATGCCCTGTCTGGTTTCAGGAACTGTAACCCTGCTGACAGGCTGGAGGGCCCCAAGGCTGGAAATAATCAGGGAGGCCTTGGAGAAACAGGCTCCTAAGGAGACATAACCTGTCCCCTTAGCTCCTGCTAAGCTCCTGCCTCTGCTTTGCCATGGATGATTGGTGATACATGTCAGGTAAGTCATCTCGAGCTGAGGTATACAACCTAAGACAGATGCCAATCAAATATTGGCAGCGGACAAGTAATTGGGGGACATGGAGAAAGGGCAAAAAGGCCCACACCCCTCATCTCGGCTTGGGCATGGCCGGAGTCCTCATTCTATCTGAAAGAAGTCTCCTTGTCTCTTGGTGGCTCCTTCCCGCCGCCTGACTCAGGCTCAAAACAATACCAGCCCTGGGTCCTAAACCAGATCTGGAGGTTCCCAGGAAAATCAGGCCTAAAAGTAAATTCTTTAAAGTGTGCTTTGTTCTTCCCTCAGAAGCTGTAACCAGCTCCTGCTGAGAAGGAAATTTATACTATTCACAGACCCTAACCCTGCTCCCTTAGGCACTCTTGTATTTACTGTGCTCTCAATTTAGTCGTCTCTCTTGTTTACTTGTCTCCTCTGGGACCCCTGTAAATCAGTGTGTTCCTGCCATTTGTTTTCTTCAAAACATCACCCATTCTCTGTGAACATTAACATACGGATGTAATGAGATAACCTGTGCATTCCTGTTACCCAGTCTCACTGATAACCTTTTCAATAAAAGTCTTTGAACAAAGGGACTCTGGGCCTTCCCCATCAGAGGGATGTGCCATGTCCCCTCTCCTGTGTTTGCGATGACTTGTATTTATCCCCCTCATCCCTGACAACCTCAGGACAGGCTCTGCTGGTTCAGAGCCCTGTTCCCATTTCAGCTGGCCCTGGACGGTAACCCTCAGATCCAGCAGTGCCGCGCTCACCCAGACACGCTCTGTCCCCGTGAAGCAGTTGCTGCCTGGACCCGGGATGAGTGGCAACCTGAGTGGTGCTCCCACAGTGGTACGCCCTGTCTCACTGCCACACTACAT